GTCTTGTTGCAGTCTTTCCCTCCCTACTAGCATGCTCACCATGCCACAGGCTGCCAGCCTGAAACCTAAAGAGACAAGCAGTTTGGTGCACCTAGTGGATGACGTCCCACGGCTGCAGATGCTGAGCTCTTTGCAAAACTCTCCCAGCCCCAAGACCCGGGCTCTGTTTTTATATAACCCAGGACCCACCTGGGACCTGCCAGACTGGTTCCCAGTAAAGAACGGGTTGGAAGGCTGCAGCCTGCAAACTGAAGAGGGGCACCTGGCTGCATACACAATCCCCTCCGCTCCGCCTCTCTGCTAGGCCTTTCCTGGAGCGGCTGATGCAGCTATCACCAGTGAAAGATGCGTGACCTGCTCTCCGGCAGGGTCTGCTCTGCCCAGTAATGAGATTTAAACAGCAGTGGGGCTGCGATTAGCGTCCCAGACATGGCCACTGGGCGCTGAAGGGTCTCCAGTTGAATGCACAAAGCAGAGTGACAAATGGGGCCGATCAATAGGAAAGGTCACTAGGCACCAGGCTGAGAAGCGGCAGAGTGATAAAAACACCCCCAGGCCTACACCACACAGGGATTTGGCCCGGTATCACCAGCCATGAAGCAGAAAGGGGGCACCGGTCCCCCTGCACCGCATCAGACCAGGAGACTGAGGCAGCTTTTGCCTGGATTTTGGTGGTTCTGGCCCCCAACTCCCCGCCAGAAACTCCCGGCGCAGTGGAAACGCAACCGGAGACCAGTCGAGCCCGCGGGCTGCGGGGCACCTGCCCTCTCCGAGAAGCCACGGGCCGGGGCAGACCCGAGAGCCCCCTTGGCAGCCCCAGGAGCGGCTTCGGGCACAAGCCGAGCGCGTGTGCGGGAGGAAGGGGGAGCCCCGCCCGGGGCAGCTGCCCGCCGGCGCGGGGGAACTTTCCGCGCGGGATCAGGTGCGGGCGCGGAGGCGTCGGGCGGGGGGGATCCGCGCCGCGACCGCGGACAAAGGCGGCGCCGCGCCGGATCTGGACCCGAGCCGCCCCGTCCAGCCGGGCTGTGCGGGACAGGGGACATGGAGGCGAGCCGGGGCCGGGGGCAAGGAGCGAGGACGCGGCGAGCAGGCTGGGGGCTCCCGTAGGAGGCCGCCAGAGCCTTC